GCGCTGTCTGCCTCCTCCGTTCAGAACGGATAGCGACTCCGTTGCTGACTGGTATCTTCGTCGTCGTTCCATCGGTCTTCGTCAGCCCTTGTTGTGCTGCTACTCCCGCAGCTGGCAGAGGGCGATGAGCAGGTTCTGATCGCCGATTTTTCGCAGTCTGTCACAGCCCCCCCCTCAACAGCCTGCGCGGCCCATGGTGACCCGCGGGAGGACAGAGTCGGTATAATTTTCGATTGGGGACAATACCATGAAGGGCAGGTGGCGAAATCTTACGGAGACTTCGCCGCGATCTCCAACCCTCTTCGTTTCTCAACCGGACTTGTGACGGGCAGCAGCGGAGCTATATTAAATTATCAGTAACTATTTCGACCAGTCAAGTGGCATTCTTTATATAAGAGGTAAATATTGTTAGACACTATTGTTTGAACTTGCACAGTCCTATGGCGTGAACAGAACCTCGGTATTCTGCATTTGCTAACAAAATGCATGATTTTAAGATCTATCATAAGGGTCTTACCTAAAATTTTGCACTTCCTTTTCATTTGTTCGTACTTATTTTTTGTTGTTTTATTCTTCATCCACCGTCATTTCATCATCTGTATTATCATCTTCATCAACATGACTACGATTATCGCCATCATTATATTCCTCATTCTTGTGGTGTTGGTGGCCATCAACATCGTCAGTCATCACCATAGTTGTGGTGATTGTCACAGGAAGTAGTCATCATCAAGGTCGCCACCATCAGTGTCGGCGTTGGTCGTCGTCATCATAATAACTGTATGTTATCCTTATCGCCGCCGTGAATATCTTTATCCTTACAGTCATCTTAGTGAGAGTTTCTACAGCTTCATGAAATAACCATATGTTGGAGAGCATGGAAACACTACAGCCAGTCGACTCAACCCTAATACCTAACGGATGAGCTTACAGGAGTGACTGTTAATCTGACTACCCGACCAAATCAACTTAATGTTTCATAATTATGTTACTTAAGCGCTTCTAGCAACGCATCGGGTTTTTTAATCATTATGAACCCTCTTCGAATCATTCACTCTGCTTAGCTGTAGACAGTCTCAATTGTAACTTTTTCGGCACCTCCACATCCGGTGTTTAACTTCTTGCTCACGTATTTATATCTTTCAAGTTATTCAACCGTTCCTTTCCACAGTGACGACCTCAAATTATCGATTAAGTACCCGATCATAACATTTTCACAACTGCTTTATACTATAGGTGTACATTTGCAAGTTTGACTTAAGTTTCTATTACCCTGGCGTCTTCTGTAAATGCCTGAGAGATAGAGGGTTTACGGTAATGATTTCCAGATCTGAATTTATGCGTGTTCTGTAAACAGTTTTTCAAAAATATGCAGTACCCTATTTCGTAGAGAACCACTATTTTATGGATCAGATTTACACTATTTATTGTTTTCTTTTATTTCGTATGTTGTTTTAGCGCGCTCGTTGAAGAAAGCCCAAGCTCCGGTGGCAGTCAACGGTTCCGCGGACTCCGCCGCTTTCAGCGATAACAATTTAAGCAAGGATGTTTGCGAGTACTTCGATACAAACGTCGTGCCGCCTAGTCAGAGTACGGAAGTCTACAGCAAATTTAAAGAGCACGGAGAAAGCACGACGGCGCTGCCCTCGTCGCACAGCGAGGACAGTATATTCGCCTCTACTTATCTACCGTCGTACATACGCGTCAGCTGTGCTTTAAGTGGATACGCCAACTATCGCCGTTCTCCTGGCCAGTATGGATCCGTGATGGACGCTGACCACCGCCATGTGAGTTCCACTGCCAAATATCCGTGGTCGCCACCACAAGGTCCGGGTACCCTTCCTCTGGGCAGAAGCCTGGTCGAGCGTCGTCTTCAGAAGTTCGAGTCGCCATCCGAAGCCACGCCACCGGTGCTGCCCACCAAGCCAAATGACCAGCAGTCGCCGACATCCGTGACAAACGATAAGAGGGACACAAAAAGCCAGGAGATAAACACCGACGTGGTCCTCAGCCCAGTGCCCGTCAGAGAGTTGATTTGTAACTTCAATCGTTTAACATTAAACGAAGACGTATCCTCCGTTTCATGTGAATCTCAGGCTATTGTTGTCGCGAGTCCCGCGGTCCTGTTAGAAAATGGAGATATGCACGTTGCTGAAGATTTGGCAAAATACGATGAGAGCAACGTGGGAGAAGGTTTTATTACTCGTGATGGTGCATACTTCAAAAAGACCGCCGCCGATGAGCGATACCGCATCGAACATCTCTGTGCCGAGTACGAAGGCTTTCTCGAAAACAACGACGGCATTTCTGAAGAAGGTATTTATTAGTGGTAGCATCCACGTTTAATCAGTGGTTCGGGATGATGAAATAGAATATAAAAACGCTGTAACTGCAGACATTTCGAAACAGCTAGTCAGGTGATAAATCACTACCAACCTGAGGGCCATCGTTAGCATAGTGGTCGCTGGTTGGTGTGGACAGTTTTTCGCAGCAGCTGGTTCATGTCCAGTTATAAGACGATTTGTCGACTATATTAGCGCAATTGCTATTAATGGTTTTTCTTAAGCTCATTCGATCCGCTCAAAGATCCTGTCCAAAAGACCAAAAAGTTCCCACTATTTCTGCAACAGGCTGAAACAAATTAAACCTCCAGAAAAGAAATAACGGAAAATTAATAAAGTTTGATGTAACCGTTAAAATGATGTTCTTCCTGACACTTTCAAGATGGGGCCATTCTATGGCCCTTCAGAATTATTCGTAGGGCGCATGTCATCAGCCAGGAGTGCTTTATTCTAAAAGCAAGTCGACAGCATGTGTGACAAGCATAGTTTGTAATCTCCTATTTCTTTCCCACGGAATGATACTCATAGATAGAGTATTTTATGTTCGGGCATTGGTGACATACTGAGAAATGATATAAAAGACAGTTAATTAATTCACATCGCATAAAGAAATATGCCCAATCAATTGCCTGTCTAATACCGACTTTCAGCTCCTGCCTCGAGCCTTCTTCAAAGTAGGAGGTTTATAGATTTTGAGCCAGAAGGCAAGCATCTGGGCCCTGGTGCTGGTTAAATAGTTTCTCGGCAATGGTATAGTTCATTCAATCCGCGCAGAGTTCATATCCTGTCATGGTTGACAGGCTGGCCTCCCTGATGCGCCTGTACAGTCATTTACTTACTTTCATGATACCGTACACACTGATCATCGGAGGAGGGCTATTCTGCTGTGCTACACAATCCAGGACGATCTTTCGCATTGTTTCTTGGCTTTGCTGGGGGCGAAACTTTGCTTTCTTCTCGAGAAGATAGATTGACCGTTGCGGTAATCGAACTGAAAATTTCCGGCGTGACCTCTTACGCTATGCCACCACGTCGACGCAGCATTATGATGTTAAAGACTTAATTGCCATTATCCTCGTAGAAGCTACAATTTTAATCATCAAACTGTTTAAAGATAGTTTTCCGAAAGAGGTTATTA